TATACCATGTTGACTCCTATGAAAGATTGAGCAGTTCTGTATGGGTTTCGTATTATTAGCTGTATTAGGAAAATTTGATCTCCAAGGTTGACGGTCTGGAAAGTTTAAATATGTGACGTCACTTTATATAAATTGTGACGTGCAACATTTTTACTTTGAAAAAATGGTATAAGAATATTACTATTAATATTTGCATGCCCCAAAACAGTTAAGTTACAGAATATGCTTGCCAAAAGAATGTTTATGAATTCAGTGGACCAACCACAGGACAAATATTTCAATTTTAAATGAGCTAAAAGTTAGCAAACGGCTATTCAGCAAAATTCATCTCTAACAAATAAATACTTTGGACATGTTATGAGAGCAGACACAGAAAACAGAAAGATTTATTACCCAAGTAAAAGTAGAAGGCCGAAAATCATGAGGACGATCTCCAATAAGATGGATCGATCAAATTACAGGCACATGCAAAAGACCTATAATAGAGATCTTTGGATATGGATAACACACAACATCACAATGACCACTGCACTCCCTCCGAGGGTCAGGATTGAACAGATACAGATATGTTTGCCAAATTAGGTTATAGGTTAAAATTATTTTGTTGCTACATCTGGTATGGACATTTGATGGGGAATTTTTATAGTCTTTGTACATTTGCAATTACAATAGCTAACCCTGAAAAAATTTTGAGTGTGGAACAAATTCAGTGATAATACCAGTCACATCCTTGTATGAATGCATTTGCTTGAATCTGTATTTCCTTTATGTAACATAATTAGAATTTTATATATTTAAGAAAATATTCAAATCTGCGACAAGGAACTGTAAGTTGCCTACATATTTAAGCACAACTTGATGTTTTTTTATTCTACATTGTCCATACAGTAAACCGTCTTGAGAGTGTAAAAGTTATATTCCCTATACAGTGGCATCTTTATTTGGAGTGCTATAAAATATTAGCCTTATCAATGCAAAATCTTATACTGAAACACCAGATGACTAGAGGAGCATCCTAAGAAACAGCAGAAGCAAACCCTCAGCCTCTGAAGTGATTAACTGTGCAAATAATGTGAACTTGGAGCTAGTTTTTATCACATCCACATGTGACAAAGTGTCCTATACCTACGAGACCAATGAGAATTAGGGAAATTGAAAAAATGAACCAAGCTTTATGTTACACAAAAAAATTATTGTTTATATTACCTAAAAATTATTATTATTTTGACAAAAAGTCGCAGCAAGGAAAAAGAAAAAGCTTTGGAATCTAACTTCACAACACTAAATAAATTGTACAGGAGGCTGTTGCCTATAAAATCTTAATTACAAGATATAAAAGAATTAAAAGATCTTTGACACTTAGTCAATTCTTAACATACCCTAGTGCTAAAATTTTCTAGAAATGCTTAGTTTAGGTCAATAACCAAGAAAGTAATGAGAACAATATTGATTAAGGCAAGAAAAGATTAATGTCGGAACACTGTTAAGAAAAATTTTTTATCTTATAGTTTGTATTATGTAATAATCATTTCTTTTGTATTAAGACTATGAATAAACCTTCTGAATATAACTTCTGTAATATAATTTGTTTAAATTTCTAAATTGGCCCAAACAATTCAGCTTTAAACCTTAAAATCATGATTTTACAGAAACTATTAGAAATGACTATGATCATTTTTCGCAGTGACTCAATTGTAACTAAGTGCAGATGTAGTTTTTGTTACCTTGTTTTCTTCCTCTACATTCCTTATATCCCAATTGTTTAATTAGAAATGGTTAATGTACGTAAGTTAATGGTTAACAGTATAGAGCAAATCAAGTAGAGATAAAAGAAAGGCAATTAAAAATATTACCTATGTAATAATATAATAATACCTTCATTAACATTTGCTATATGAACATCAAGTTTTTTTTATATTTCATGGTAAGCATTATTCTAAACTATTTGTCAACTATTCATATCAAAGAAAAAGAAAAAAAGATATCCTAAGTAAGTAATAATTTTTTTAATATTTTCAGAAATATTTAAATTTTTAGAAAAGAACAAAGAACACTGACTGTTAGTTTTCATCAGTATTGATTACTTTCTACATTACTTAGAATGCATTTTTGGTTTGAAGTTACATGTCATTTGAATAATATACAAAAATGTGGAAGAACTAATCTTATACAGAAACACTGATTCTGACAACTGATTTTAATCATTATGAATGAGTTCAGACATCACTTTAAATAAATAGAATAAAATACAATCATTTTTATTTGCATAACAGTTTCAATTATAATCAAACGAATTACTTTATTATTTTACAAATTTTTATTTAAGTTATTATTACTATAAAAAGAACAATGAGACAGAACAGTATTTTAGAAAATACAATTGAAAAAGCAATAACATATTAATGTCCTCCATGTACTTATCTTTGATAACTCCAGTTTTTCCACTAAAGTATAAGGCTCTACTTTGATAAGGGATTTATAGAATTTGAATTTTTTAATTCTTTTAACAGAGAAATATTAATCATTCATAAATATATTATACAACTGATAGGAAAGAAAAATTTGGGCATCTACTTGCCTAAATTTTACACAAGTTACAGCACTCATTCTAAGCAAAACTCATACTATTTTTTTTTAATGAGAAAAACCTTCAAATTCATACCAATCCCAAATAACAATCATGATGGCTGGAAAAACAGTTACATATAAATGGTGATAATATCCCACTTCTGAGTATATTCTTTAAGCATTCTTAGCAGTATGCAGAGCTTAGTTTTTGATATTTAACATCCAAGCAATAAATATACATCTCATTGCAGATAATAATCAATTTAAACACCCACAAACTTAACTGAGTTCATAATTCACTGTTTTATGATCGCTGATTTACCATGCTTGTCATAATCTGAAAATTTATTTTCATCAACTGATCTCAAGTCTTTTCCAGAATTTCGCCTGCCCTTAAAAACAGCTCTTTAGTGTTTTGGACCAAATTATACAACTTGTATCATTCAGATTCATACAGATTCCTACAAATCATTGAGGTAAACAAGAAATAATAATGGTTCAAGGACACTTGCCTGGGCAGCCTCTAGTTCAATGTTCACTTCCTTTAAAAGTGTTATCTCACCATTTATTTCTAGTACTAGAGGTAAACTCTCTGATACTTTGCCAATGATAAGTGTGAGTTCACCTAGCTTGGAAATATATTGACAGTCATTGTCAGAAATATACAACACATAATTTTCAGACTTCTTTAATAAAAAAAGAATGATCATGAATAATGGAAGTTTATATTCATTACATTTGATTAAGAACTTTCGATTTGTACATACTCATCTATAAATAACTAAAAAAATTACCATTTTTTTTTAATTTAGTTTTAGTATTAAGTAAATGTAAAGCTAGTTTTATTTTTGTTAATAAACTGGATGTGAATCATTTTTTTAATTGTAGATTATAATTAATATGGCTATGAATAGGGTATTTGACCAATGCAACAAAAAATAAATTACTAAATTTACTAGAAGGTTGACCAACCAAATTTACTAGGAGTTGGGTCCAGTGGACAAGGGTATAATATGTAAGTAGTATAAAGGTGAACCCCTCCATACTCTTAAGTTTTAACAGCAATAAATAATTAAGCATGTAGACCAATGATGGTGAACCTTTTGAGCTTGGTCTGTCAAAATTTGAAAAACCAAAACATAAATAAAAAATTTTATCTTTGAAGATGCTTGTTACCAAAAATGAACCTATCATAAGTTCGCCATTACTGAACTAGACTATCTAGAAAAGCCTCTTTAAAGTTTTTTTTTGTTCTAAATGTTCACTTACTTTTGTAACAAAGTCAATAAGTGCAGTATTTGTTAATTTACTGGTTTTAATATCCAATAGTTTTACCTAAAATAATTTTCCATTGTATTGTACACAGCTTTTTCCCAAACCTTAGAGAAGGATGGGAGAACACTTAAGGCAGGATAATTCTCAAGTTTGTTTGAATCTCCTTTTTATGCAATTTTTGACTGAAGCTTATTTTACATGGAAATAATAATTATTAAACAAAAAAACAGGAAAAACAATTATTTATAATGTATTTCAGAGGACAACACAGTTATAATGTATTCTAATGCATATGTAATGTAAACATGTAATTTCCCCTTTAAATTATAATTTGAACAGTATATATGTAAAATATGATCCAATACTACTATACCAAAAATTGATACTGCCAAGTTTTAATGTGTTTCATCATTGTAAATGACTTGTAAATGATATATTTCCAAAGAGATTAAGAGGAACTTCCAAATATGTATAATAAATTGAAAGGATAATAATTATAAGAAAGAAGAAATTTAAACAAAAAAATATTGAAACCATTTATTGATTCCCACAACACTAGATATTTAATTATAAAATGCGGCAATATTTATACATTAGAACAAAACTAAAATGTTTAAAAACAACAAAATACTCATATTGGCTTGCTAAATATACATAGTGATAATCACAACATACTGTTTATTCAAACAATTGTATATACAGATATTTTAAAGCGATTAAATATTAAAAAACTAATATATTATAAACATCATTTTCTTTATAAAACAAGAAAAATTGTACCTATGCATATAAATTCAAACAAAATTTGCTAGTAGTTGTTATTCTATAAACCTTCACAAGTGAATATTTAAGGCAATTAATCTGTATATAATTGAATTACCTTCTTAATCGATACTTCAAATAAGGATATGATTGCCAAAAGTAGTTTATATTTACGCTAGATATATCGATTAAATTTACACAATAAATGAATTACAAATATAAATAGTTTTATAAGTAAAATAAAATGAGAATGTAGGACAGGCCATAATCATGACAGATGACAAAATAAAATGTAAGTTTATAAATTTACTTTTAAACCAAATGTGTCTAATTAAACGTTTATATGTAAAAGAACTATGATACTTAAGCTAAAAAACAAAACTTAAAGCATTTACCTGAGTGTTATTGGTCGTTGATTCCTCAATTTTATCAGTTTCCATTTTTATCATTGTAAGAAATTACTTGTAGATGTATCGATTACAATAAAAACATAAGCACTAATTTGTTATAAAGTTTATACAACTATTTACACTAACACATTATGCTAATAACAAATTTTTATATTATCTACTAATTAAAACGATCGTTTATACACAAATTCACGACGATCACAACACACTTCTTCCTCCGAAGCAGAAGTGTGGCATGAAAGAAGTCTCAAAAGTCATCGTCAATCTGCCAAAACCTTGATTAGTAACAAAATACTACCAACTTAGTAAACGAAAATTTCCGATCAGATATAGATTTTTTGCTTTATCGTTTTGATTGAAATGTGATATATGATTAATTAAATAATTGTTTTTACAAAAAGCTAAACAAATAAAACGTTAATGTCTACCTATTAAAAAATCATTATTAGAAGTAAAAAAATAGAAACAATTATATTGGTTATGTTTATACACTTGTAACGTTGTAGCGGGAATTTTAAAATTTGACATTATGTAATGAACGGAAGGTGCATACCGATGGTGCATACCAAATTATATTATACTGTATAACAGATAGATATGTGCAATTTAAGTTCATTTGCGAATAATGGTAAAAAAATCGTTGCCGTAGCAGCTAATTATAAGTATGTTTTTTGTTTTTGTGTTCCTACAAATTTATTTAACCGCAAAGTGTGATTTAACTACGGTATTTTAAAGTTTTCTGTTTATAACTAATTTAGGATGTTTAATGTATTAAATAAAAATAAATATATTAAAATTTAAATTTGCTATATAAAAAAGTAACCACTATCACTATCACAGTAATAAAATTATTTTTTCAAATATTCGGAAATGATTAGATGTTCGGCTCTCGGGTGTGTAAATATATATAAAAGAATACCAAAAAAAGATTGGCCATAAATTATACCACGATTTTTAGGGATGAAAATAAGTCGATTTGGCCTTAATTACCTATATGCAAAAGTGCCCAAAAAAAAGTTACAGGTTGTTAAATTTAGAAAATAAAACAGAGTTTATGATATTGCTCCAAAACGGTTTATAACTTTTTATTAAAATTTTATTGTATATAAGCATCCCATGGTCAATAAAACCGAAGTAGCAAAAATAAGTTTTTCTCGATTTTTTCTAGATTTTTAAACAAATTTCCAAATCTTTAAAACTTTTTAGGAAGCAGTGTAATATTGGATTGCACATGATGTTGTCTATGCTGGATCCGTTAATCTTGGTTCCATCTTAGACCTCGTCCAATGCTTTTCTGAATATAAGTAGATTCCGAATACAGATTAAATAATAGCGTTATATAATAATAGCGTGCAACCCTGTCACACTCCTCGTCGGATTTGTATATCTTCGGATGTTGTGTTCTCTGTTTCAATTTTTGCCGCTTGGTCCAAAACAGTTCTGAGATAATTTGCAAGTCTTGGTCATCAATTCCAGTTGTTCTCTGGAAATACCTAATACAGAATAAATTGATATAAGGTTGAATGCTCGAATAAATGAACTTTGATCAAATGAAAGGCAGATATCGAGCACAGTTGTATTAATTAAATCTTGCCCAAGTACTTTCGCTTCCTAGAAGATGCTCTAGGAAGCGAAAATACTAATTAATAAAACTGTGCTCGATATTTGCCTTTCATTTGATCAAAGTTCTAATACAGAATAATTAAGAAACCGAATTTTAGAAGCTGCTAATACATTTTAAGGAAAGAATAAGTCAAGGGCGATATCCAATCCGATGGACTGATACAGTTGAGAAGATATTAAACACGAATTTCGTTAATGCGGTACGTTCCATTTAAAATAGGGATAGATAGAAAGACAGCGTCAAAAGAGCAATGTAATCATTGGAAGAAGATGTGTAGATTGGAAGAGGAAAGCTTTTTTGAGAGAGACATTTGATTTTTAAAAATATTTGGTATTCATTGTAGAGCCTGTATACAGCAACACGGAGGTTATTTTAAAAACTTTTTAGAGTAAATTAATATGTAACACGGACGTATGTCCAATATGTTAATATGTAACGACTAGATGGACGGATGATATCAAGCGCATCACCACAAACTGGATGCAAGAAGCTCAAGACAGAAATAGGTGGAAAATTTTACGGGGGCCTACGTTCAGCAGTGAACAAACATAGGCTAATTGATGATGATGATGATGATGATGAATATGTAACAATAAAACACTAAAAACTTTGTTTTCAAAACTTCCATAACATTTATTATAAAATCTTATCACTACAGCGGTTTCGGTGCCTTTCTCAAGTGATCTATTTTTGGCATGCGTTTACACTTTATAGTCTTCTATAAAGAAGGTCTTTCTATGATCTAGAAGGAGAACGGCGTATGTAGAATTTGGTTTTCTATTATTGAAAGCCCTTTTATGTTCTGCTATTCATTTATTAAAATTTCTACCAATTTGAGCGATGTAAATTTTTGAGCAGTCGCCAGATTGTGTATACACCGCTGTGTAAGTGCTTTTTGTTTTCGCTCTTGTTGTTTTTAATATATTTGCCATTTGTTGATTTTAATATAAACAAGTTGTTGTTTGTTCTGAAAGCTGGTGTTATTCCTTTCCTTTTTTTATGTGTTTGGCTATTTTTGTTGATATTTTGGCTGTATATGTAATCGAGCAGAAGGTACTGGGTTTTTTCTCTGGTGGTGGAAATACTAATTTCAGGTCTTTCTTGTGTGGTTTTTGATTTAAAATTTTATTAAATTTTTGTTCGTTGTATCCATTGTTTACTGCTATGTATTTTGACATCGGAATTTCTGTTAATCTATGTAACATACTATGATAGGCTCCCAGTTTATATTGTATGGGATGGGATGATGAATTGTGGTAAACATGAGGAAAGCTTGCCGGAGCCAAAAGGAGTTTTGGTACCTACTTCACGCCCACATCTCATTAAAAATTCGTTAAAAAAAATTTATAGAGTTTAGGGCCCTAATAACTTGAAAACAGTTTTTTAGGGCACTTATCCTAGATACGATTCGTTCTGCTTTGCTGGGGTATTTTAGTTCTGAACCTTGAAATTTCATTGAGGGTTTTTTGGCGATTAAAACACCACGCCTGCTAAAACGGGTTGGTGAGTTTCGATTCAGCCGCCCACTCTGGGTCAGATGCTGATTGCAGCCGACCACTCTGGATCAGACGCAGATGTTGAAAATACTGGTTGGTCGACCATGTTAAATAACATCCCTTTGATCTTCATTTTTTAAATGCCTAAACGGAGTCTCTAATATATTACACACCAAGTCATTAATTGGATTCATGTCTGTCTAAAATGATTTTTGTCCAAACGAAATCCACGAGAACACTTTATATCCGAAATCCGAAACAAACCACAGAGAAATGTATTAATAAAGTGCACTAAACAAATAAACTTAATACTGTGACTAAATTAAACTAATAAATACTATACTATACACTATACTATATAAAAAATATCTATATAATAGACTAAATTTCAAAATATTGTCGAAGAAATTGTGAGAGAAATTTCCGAAAAATAGGAATACCAAAGACACATCCAACAGTGGGTGAAGACGGATAATAAATTTTTAGACGGAACTGCACTCGTCAGTTTTCTCAGCTATCACTAAGGATAGGCTGACGTCACGTTGCCATGGCAACCGTGAACGCTTATGCAGATGAATTTCGCATTTCAAAAATGATATTCACCTATTCCTGAATCCTACACGGTTAGTGACACAGGTCAGGACTTGACCGTCAAGTACCTACCGCTAATAAAGCTAGTTGTCTTTTTTAATTTTTAGATTAATTAAAAGAGAATAAATAGTTGATTTCAGAATTTAGATATAATAATATTGCTTTTATTTTTTATTTATTTGTCTCAAGTTAATTTTTTTGGTGAACCTCACCTTCACCTACTTCACCTGGCCGGCCGCCGCTGTATAAATGAAAGCAAAACAAAATATATGGAGTGCACAAAATCGAATCAACATGAGAATCTGAAGGTAGACAACCATACCTACAAATATGCCTCCACTTTTCCCTACCTAGGCTCATCATAATAATAAATGACAACAACAACATCAGTCAAGAAATACAAGCACGGATTCTTAGCGGTAATGCTTTTCAATATGTCTTTGCATGCACGTTTTTATGCATACAAATACATAATGAAAAGTAAGTTACTGAATCGTGAGTCTAAGCTTAGAATCTACAAAACAGTAATTAGACCAGTGGTCACATATGGATGTGAAACGTGGACCCTCTCAACCAGTGATGAAAATCAACTGAGAATATTTGAGCGCAAAATACTAAGGAAGATATTTGGACCAACCCAAGGCAGTGATGGTTCGTGGAGAATTAAAATGAACCACGAGCTGGATGAACTAATGTAGAGCGCAGATATTGTTAGATTTGTAAAGTCACAAAGACTAAACTGGCTTGGTCACTTAGAAAGAATGCCATATAATCGAGCTGTAAAAGTATTCCAGAGATGGAAGCCCCAAGGAAACAGAACAAGAGGAAGGCCCCGTAAAAGATGGATAGACGACGTAGAGAGTGATCTTAAAACCATGAACATCAGGCAGTGGCGAAAGAAAGTGTCCGAAAGGGCCGAATAGAAGAACATTGTTAAGCAGGCAAAGACTTACAAAGGGTTGCAGCGCCATTAGAAGAAAAGGAAAAGAAGGTTGCCTTCTTGTCCTTGTCATTTGAGATTCTTTGTTAGAATGAGTATATTTGGCTATAATTTAGTAGTTGTGTAATGATTATTTTTATATGAATATTTTTTTATTTTCAGATCTCTTATGAAAATACTAAAGATAGAACCACCAAAAGAACCACAGATTTTTATTAAACCTAGTACGTCGTATTTAACTGAAGGATCACCTATTGTAGTAAGTTCTTAATTATTTAATTAGACGACATAATTATATTTAATACATAAAATGTTTAAAATGTTTATACCACAGTATAACTGATTTAATGTAATGTTTTTGCATAATTAGAGATTCGAAATACATGGAAAACCTCAGAAAAGAAATTTTGAAGAAAGAAATCTGGTGATAATCAAACGAAGTCCAAGAAAAAATAAAAGAGTAGGGAAATCTGTGTAAACATTAGAAAAAAGTAGTTTAATATAGATTTTCAAGATTATAAGGTCGCCAAAAAGACAGCGAAAGTACTTGTAGACTTTACCTAGGGTGCTCAATAGTGAAATAGGTCGATACGATTCAGGATTGGGAAGGGGTTTCCCTTTGTTGGGAATCATAACTGTGCTGGCCACTTTACATGGAATTGGAAAATAGCTTAGAAGATTTTATTTTATTTCTTTTTTTTTAATAAAAGACAATTCTTTTTTCTTACGAATACTGTTTCTCATATACCTACAAAAATAAACTATCAGGACCAATGTATTGGCGTCATTTTTCTGAGCAAGTTTTTTCCTCTTCATGAGAAACTACTCCTTACTCAAAAAATGTATTAAAAAGAGTAAGTACATGCAAATAAAAAAATTTCCAAAAATAATTATTAAGAAAAATTATATAATTCATTCGTGGATTGAATTTGTAAACGTTTTTCAGAAAGAGGAGGGGGGTAAAGTTAAAGCAGTGGACACCACCGAATTAAAATCCTGGCTAGGTCACTGGTCTATTGGTCTTAATTTGTTACTAAAGCTTAAATATTTTCTGTGCACAATTTGTAATAACACATATTAATAAACACAATTATTAATTTAATAAACTTTATAGATTCCCAAAGGTTTCGCAGTGAACCAAGAAATAGAATTAGGAGTGGTAATTGGAACAAGAGCGAAAAAAGTATCCGAAAGCAAAGCCATGGATTATGTTGGCGGATATTGTGCTGCCCTTGATATGACAGCAGCTGACAAAATAGTAAGAGTTTTACCATTTTTACAAATTCTAGTGGTAATGAATTTCAAAGGTTTCTATATTTGGAATAAAAAACTTTTTTTAATTAAATAAACTTCATAATGTTTATTTTAAATAATTTAATTAATTACAATTTTATTTTTTATTTATAAAATCGTTCTTAAAATACAAATTAAACAAATTAGTTTTTTGTTACTTGGCAATTTTTTTTACAATAATACAATTTTATCTTCTTCGTTCATATTGACAATTCACACAATATTATATATTTTAAAGTAGATATCTTTAAAATTTTATTATTGATATTTTCGAGGTCCGTTTCTACGACGACTTTATTCGAGGATATTTTATTGGATTACATAAAATTAACTTCATTAAATCATCGGACTGCGTTTTGAAATCAATTCCATTGCCCGTTTTCCAGGCGCCCGACCAACCTTCACTAGCTTGAAAATGATCGCAGTTAAATTCTTTAGCAAATAATAGAGCCTTTTGCTTTAGTAAATTTCCAGATAATAGTGCTTTAAATCATAATAATGAGCGGTTACTTGATGAAATATCGAATTTTGAAGGGATTTCAAAAATTTTTAATTTTTTCAAATAAACTTAAAGACGCTCATTTTACTTTTACAGTTAACACCTTTCATTATAAAGCTACATTACGCCAATGATAATGTATATATATATATAATATATAATATATATATATATATATATATATATATATATATATATATATGTATATATATATATATATATATATATATAATAATATATAATTTTTATTTCTAGAAAGAAGCAAGAAGTAGTGGCGGTTCTTGGACACTGGCAAAAGGCTTCGATACTGCTACTCCTGTCAGCAAGTTCATCCCAAAATCAGAGGTTCTAGATCCTTACAAATTGAACATATGGTGCTCTGTTAACGGTAAACTGCGTCAAGATGCGTTCGTCTATGATGTACACTTTAATATAGCTCATTTAATAAGTTTTATAAGTCAATACATAACATTGGAACCAAACGATCTTATTTTGACAGGAGCTCCGCCTAATTTCGGTCCAGTAAAAGATAAAGATGTTATTACTGCTGGCATAAAGGATTATGTGCAAATGAAATTTGAAGTGGTTGAAGAAAAATAACATTCCGGTTTGATATTATATCAATCTTTTCACATAAATAGGAAACTAAAAACTCTATCAACGGTTGAGATTTATCTTTTAATGAGTTTTCCTTAATTTTGTTATTTAGTTAAATAATTATTTCTCTTTCTTTTATTTTATTTTACCTTTTTCCCTATTTGAATCTAAAGCTTTCATAATAGAGACAACTGAAATTATGTATACAGGGTGCGCCAAACCTTGAGTTCTCTTTATGACGGCTAAACCATGGGGTATAGTCGCCTCGTATTTCGTTGAGACTGTGTAAAAATATATTTATCTGTAATGAAATCAGGCAATAAAATTAAAATAAAAGTACTCTACCAGGAGTAGTTATTAACTGCAAAATAATCAATGACTGAGATGTATAATAATACAAAGTTTTAATATTCTCATCGATATTTACATTCAGATGTGCCTGGTATTATGTTTGAAAATATGGGCAGTCACCCAGTTTAAGTTATCATCGAATTGTTGATCAGTCCACGTGGACCAGGAGCCAATGAAAACATCGGATATCGCTATTATGACAAATCACAATGCGTTATCTTGTATCGGCAAACTTATGCATTCTTTGGGTAAGACAACAATATTTGCCTGAGCGACCGAAACCATAAAGTAGTTTAAAAAATTTCGTTTCGACCGTCCAGTGATTTACACTTGGGTAGCTAGGTATAATATTTTATTTTATTTTTAAACGAAATATTGTTTATTTGGATGAGACCTGGTATGATACACATGACACCATGAAAAAAAGTTGGACGAATAATAACAAAAAGTGTTCTAATTCAGTACCGCCCAATAATGGACAGAATTATAATTTTACACTGCGGTGTAGAAAATGGATGCATCACGTGGATGGAGGGATATCGGTCACAAAATTGGAGAAGAAAACAAATGGATCTTGTTACTAAGTCCCTTATTAAAAAGGTTTCATATATAAATCCGTACACAATATCAGTTCATCTAAGGGAGAGCGCCCACCAAAGTGGCGTGGCAGTGGCAAGTAGCAAGTAGCACGCGTCTAGCATAATGTAACCAATGAAAACGAATGATTCAGTTTACACCAAAATGACAGTAACGTCATTCATTCTAATCATTCGTTAGGATTGGTTACATTATGCTAGACGCGTGCTACTTGCTACTTGCCACTGCCACGCCACTTTGGTGGGCGCTCTCCCTAAAAGTAAATCGATATGCCTACAACTATAGATAAAATTACACAGAATAACTTACAAAGAATTTTTAGCTATTAATATGATGGAAATGAAGTATAAAAAAAGTTTAACTCAGGAACCATACATGTAAACGTTTAATGTTTTTATGAAGAAAAAACAGAAGTTAGTTTTCATAAACTCACAAAGAATGGAAGTAAATCGACTTTTAAAAATATGTCACTGTGATAAATTTTCTTTTCTGTCAACCACAACTTTATTTCTTCTTTTGTCCAGCTGCTTGAAGGAAATCTCTCTTCTACTCTTGAGTGGTAGGATGCATTATTCAACACTATTATGGATAGTAGTCAAAAATATTTGCAACCATATTTCCATGGTAATCACCTGTATTCTTTGTGGACGAAAAAATTAAACTATCAGTCGGTTTATTGTTCATGTATTTTCTTAAAAAATGCCACTATTTTGAAACAACATTAGACGTTTACACAATACTTGTCTATTATTTGTCTTTTTATATCGAAAACCTAAATGTTTCAGCACTCTCTAAAAATTTGTTAAACTAATATCACACAGTTCCTTGTCTTTTATTTTTGTAACACTGTTATAATTGTTACATGTTCTTTGACTTTTAAACATATTATATATAATATTTTTAATAGCAAGTTTAATTGACTGGTCCAAATCTAAAGTTTTTAGATGTCAACGATTTATATTGCTTACTTTATTTATTTCATCCTCACTCATGTTATTAATTCTTCGGAATGTCCTCTCTGAGATACCGCAAGCATCGCATGTGCGTTTCTGAACTGCCATAACAGATGTCAATAGACCCATATTATTATTTTTTTCAAATTGAAATAACTTTTGACTTTCAGAACTAAACGCCGTGCTTCTAGAGATAATACGCTACGTTTCGACTGTATTTTATTTTCTATCAAATTACTCATTTTACTTTAAAGTACCGCTTCACTACACTACTATAAAAAATAGGTACTTATATACAACTACTACAACGTAAAAAGGACGAGAGTTGTACAACAGACGAAACAATCGAACACAAATTATATAACAGCCAATGCTAAACAAGCATAAACACTACATTGATTGTGATTGCAAAAATCGTTCGTATGTTTTAAATAAGATTTTTGCTAAATTATTAAATAACACCAATACAACCCACGACCATCAATTAATTTTTAACGACAAACAGAAATGTAATATGACAAGTTTGAATTTGATCTACTTTGTCGATAACAGTGTCGTTAACAAAGATATTTTTAAATAGCATGAATAATTTTTTTAATGATTGTGTGGATTTAAGAAATAGATTACTAAACAAATTGTGTATATAAAAGATTACAAGTAATATGACACGTGGTACTCCTTATTTTTCAAATAATATGCTCTTGTAAAGGTACAACTTTGATTATTGGTTAAACCTACATTATACGATACGTCACAAGAAATTAAAAAAAATACATATAATATATTCACTGTTTAAATAAATATTCCGTACTCGCATGATTGCAATAAAATATTAAAACCAATAAACGATAACTTGTTGAGCAGCGCTGATTTAAACAACAGAGAAGCAAAACATTATTCATAAAGGGTAAAATATATCGCCTCTTATCTGATCCGCGAGTAATAAAGTTACCAGCATTTAATTGCAAAGCGGTCTTATTAGGTGGAAAATACTTTAGTTATAAAGCTAAGTTATGAATATATTAAAGACGTATTAGGATATAACTTGCTACGTTGTTTATAACTAGTAGAATAAAATAAACGTCAGTTACTTGTTCATTGGTCCCATTTGTATTTTTTTCCGAAATAAATCATCCTATACTTCATCTAATTTACATACCGATGCATGTCATCGGCGTCATAGCCCGTGACGTCACATGATACCAACACGAAATATTTAGGCAGTAAGTGTGTTCTTTTTAGAATCACTTTGCCGAGTACACTGGCATTACAGCCACTTGACATATTTTATTATATACGCGTAAAAATAATATTTAAAAATATCTATTTATGTTAACTTAAAGAAATACACAATGTTGTAAAGATATGGCAATACTTTTGCAATAATTATGTGACCTATTTGATTTACAATGGATTCAGGATTTTTTTATACTTTGGCAACTATGTCAACTTCGATCTCTGACGTAGATAATGACGTGCAACAGTATGTAAATTAGATGAAGTATATTTCTACATAAATCTTTAAATAAAATAAAACCTTCGAATTGTTTTTAGACGGCTTTATTATTTTTAAATAAAATACTGTACTCTCTTACTGTTATTTCTCTCTTTGTACAATTTTTAAAATATTTTCATGTAATATTTCATCTTTTGTAGCGTAAAGAGTTTGAATAATATAAGCAGTAGTGGAACCAATCATAGCACCTCCAATGACATCTAAAAAGTAGGGGTACAATATAATTAAAAGGGTATATGAAAATCAGTAAATTAATATTTCAGTTTACTTAAATCGGTTTTTCTTGATAACGCTAGTAATAGTAATAGCCATTTATATTCACAACCAAACTAACCAATAAATAAATAAAATTAAAGTGTTTGAACCGATTTCTAGCACAACAACAACCTATATACAACCAATACGTTCTTTAAAAACCAGAAAAGAGAAGATGGACCTGGCAAAGCCCAAATGGGTCAACAAAGAATTAAATAGACCAGGTCTTCTCAAACTTATTCGTACTGTGACGCCCTTAGGACTTTGCTATTTTTTTGCGACGCCCCCTCAACCCAACCCCTAATAATACTTACCAAATTTATTACTAGCCTAGTAACAAGTTATAGTTATAACAAAAACACTATTTGAACATTTATATTTTTTATTAGAAAAGGACAAAATCAAAACATAGGCACAAAAATGAAAGGGGATATACCTATATATGTATATACACACAAAAGCAAAATTCTAGGAATATTTTTATAAATAGACGTATTTTGTTTATCTGTAATCAACTTAAAAAAAGTAATACAAAATTTGTAGTTTAAATTGTTGTTTCATATGTCAAAAAACCATAAATTGCAAAAAAAAGAACATTGGAGCAAAAAAAATATATTGGAAATAACCCATGTTTAACATACCACCATAAAATGTCAAAAATACGAAATATAAACTTAAAATAAAGTATGGCCACCACGTTGGTTTATCACAGCTCTACATCTACTGTTCATGCTCCGAATCGCATTGTTAAGATCTGCTAAAGGTAGTTGTGTCCATTGTTAACTCAGAAGCTCTTTTAATTGAAACTCATTGTAGATATTGCCCATATGTGGAGTAATTCTTCGTTGAAGCATATCCCATACATGCTCAATGGGATTCAAGTCCGGTGATTGTGCTGGCCACGGCAATACATCAATACCCTCATTATCCAACCAGTTTGTTACAATATTCGCAACATATGGTCGAGTGTTACCATGCATAAACTGGCTGGTTAATGTTATATTGCTTTTTTGAGCATAGCCTATGAAACCGTGGCTCCAGTTTCAAAATTGCCACTCTCATTGCGTTTTCTAAGTTTATATTTGATCTGCATTTGTTTTTAATTACTGCAACTGCAGTAAAGCCCGTCTCGCACAAGTACGAAGTCGCAAATGGTAATAAAACCTTTAATGTATGCAATTCATTTAATCATGCTGATGGCATGATATTCATGAGAAAGTGAGCTCCAAAATTCAAACAATTTGTTCTTGTCGTATCGAAACTTTAGGCTGGAATCGCAGGACAATTCTGTCAGTTGTTCTTCTTCCTCTCTTGAAAGTGTCGATGGCGTGGATGACAGGAAAGGATTTCTGACCCAGTCATATTGCTCGATATCTTCGGGAAAATATTTCTCAAAATGTTCGCTCAATGATAACATGTGTACACATATTTTTTAAAGAGGGATCAAGGATTTCTGTCGATTTTTCTTGTGAATACCTTGTAAAAGCAAGAAAACATTCAATTTATTGATCTTCTAATTTTCTCTTCCATAAGAGCAACTTCTTCTGAAAAGCAGTAATTGTATTTGCCAATTGCAGGATATGAGTATTGTTTCCCTGCAAAAACTTATTCATCATCACCCAGCCCTGCGCGTCCACTGCTGGACATAGTCATCCCTCATTTTTATCCATTGTGCTCTGTCTTGAGCACTTTTCATCCAAGGTCTTGACATGTCCTTGAGATCGTCAGTCCAACATGGAGGGGGTCTTCCTCTACTTCTTTTGTCTGACCTCGGCCTCCACTCAAGCAATCTATTAGGGCGACATATTTTTCTACCAGCTCTACTTCGTTGTCTCCAATATTGATATTTCCGCTAGGTACTAGGTTTGTCATGCATTTTGTTTTGGAGATGTTTATTTTAAGACCCACACTGGCACACATTAACTGAAGTTCATGTAGCATTGTACATATCTCCTTGAGATTGTCCTAGAACAAAACTTTTATTAAGATCATTTAATTTGTTAAATATATCACAGAGGTATGCTAATTTTATTATAAAACCTGAATTAATAAAGTTTTGCGCATCATCATGTGATTCTGTATGTAAATACGTATCAGAAAATTCATTTCTTAATTCGTATACACGTTCGAGTACGTTGCCTTTGGACAGCTAACAAGAGTTGCAATAATAAATTAAATATGTGTGCTCGGCCCCCATTTTTTCACAGTTTATGGAAAAGTCTTGATTTCACAGGTCGTGTTTTAATGTAGTTCACCACTTTAATAATGCTATCCATCACAATACTTAATTCAGCTGTAACATTCAATGTTTCCATTGAGAACTTGGAGCCTTGGTTTTGATGAGAGCTTCTGGTCCTCCATACTGTTATTCCAGTTAATATTATTTTCAGTCATACATGAGTTAAAAATCCTGAATAAATCAGTAGCTTTACAACTTTCATATATTTTTCTGCAAAATAACTAATCCTCACATATATTTGTTTCTTGTATGTACCGTATATAACATATCAATTGAGCATCATCATTACTATCAGTGGTCTCGTGCAGTTGAATGGCAAATAAACATGAAAGTTTCCTCATAATTTGCTCATTAATATCTTCTGCGATGTCGTGAATACGGCAACTAACCGTATTATTTGAAAAAGGTACATTTTTTATTTCTTTAGCTGCCGATTCTCAAATCATCACTATAACCATATCAACCCCTGCAGGTAAGATCAGTTCCTTAGCAATCGTATGTGGTTTTTTATATTTTGCAACATGGTAAGTTAACATGTAAGAAGCGAGCAATGTTTTGGTAGGAATTGATGCTCTTGAAATCAAAGCCGGGGTCTGATATTTTAGCTCTCGCAATTTTTTTACAAAAAAGTCTCTGACCTCGTAAATGACTGTGAGTTGATTCCAAATGCCGTTTTAGTTTATTAAAAAGCATACTTTCAGCCGCCAACACTTTGTGACAAACAACATATTGTGGAAGTTCTACATTCCCTTTGGTAACGCAGGTAAATCCAAAATCCAAATATTGGTCGTCATATTTCCTATATTTCTTCTTTTTACTTAAATTAACATTACTGCTCTCGCCTGATTCTTCATTTCGTTTTCAATTTTTTTGAATATAAGTATCCATTGTTAATAGCAAAAAGCTCGTGCGTAATAAAATAAAATAGCGTGCGTAATAAAATAAAACAAAAGTTTGACTAAATGACATAACACGCGTGACAGTAGGGAACCCGAGGGAGTGAAGCCGACCGGCGAAACAGAATGCGCCCGAAGCCGGAATAATTTTTGGATTGAACAATTTTTTGAATAATTTCGGATAATTCAAGGGTCTATCGACTTGATATTATATTTTTATTTGATTTATTTATTATTACATATATTTTGCACTCATTTAAAATCAAATAAATATATTTTTTGTATTAAAAGTCCACCTTGACACGCGACGCCCCTGGAGCAACAAAGCGACATATACTTCATCTAAATTACTTACCGTTGCACGTCATCCGCGTCGTAGTCCGTGAGGTCACATGATACCAACACGAAATATTTAGGCGGTAGGTGTGTTCTTTTTTAGAATCACTTTGCCGAGTACACTGGCATTACAGCCACTAGACATATTTTATTATATACGCGTAGAAATAATATTTAAAGATTTCTATTAATGTTAACTAAAAGAAATACACAAATATGTTTTGTTTAATTTGTATAAATGCATTATAAATCGTTTTTATGAAGAACATTTGTTCGGAAACACACTGCAACTGTAATCGAATGAAGGTAATACTTTGGTATAAATTGGTAACACTTATTTGACAGTTGCCGTGTTGACACTTTTTGAACTTTATTATTTTGAATTTTAAAGTGAATACCTATTGTTTTATATTTTTACCTATTTAATAAAATCTGTTCTTTTTAATTAGTGTATTTTATTTAAAAAATGTCACGTAAGAATTTAAATAGTCTTTGTAAACAGATGGTAATATTTTTGCAATAATTATGTGAGTATTTGATTTAAAATGGAGTCAGGATTTTTTTATACTTTGGCAATTACGTCAACTTCGATATCTGTCAATGATAATGACTTGCACCGGTAAGTAAATTAGATGAAGTATACATCGTATGTTTCGCGAGATAACATAAAAACTTCAGATTCCGAGCCGCGAGTAAAACAGACGTTCTTTAAAACCGCGGTATAGATTCGTCCGTCGATCATCAACTTGAGTTGTGGAAACAGGACTTGAAGTACTCGAAAGAAAAGGCACAGGCGGACCTAAAAAGAAATGAATGATAATATTTCCATTGTATAAGAGGAAATGTTAAAGAAAAACCTGCAATAGGACTAAAAGACAAGAAGAATAAACTTTTAAGCACTTGTATCTTAACAACTAAACTCTTGAAAGGTTGATGTTCGTATATCAAAATTCATCAAATGGAGGAAGCTCTCTGATACAGAGCGTTATTCGTCGAATATAGAAAGACCCTGTAAAATGTGTATATACTTGAGAAATAAAAACATTGTGTTGTAAACTATTTATGTTAGTATTACCTGAATAGTGATGATGGTAATCAGCAGTTCTACTAGCTGCAACTAGCAATGCTATTATCAATAATCCACTATTCAACGTGATTATAATTCCTTTCAAAAATAGAGGTTTCTTTAAATCCAGGCGGTTATGGATATGAAGTATCATATACACCATACAAGTAAAAATAAAAGTAGCATGTGCACTGGGAAAACTTTTCCTTCCGTCCATTTGTCCGTGATATTCGCCCTCGCAATTATCTATATCAGTACCGTACCTAAAGAAAAAAATATTAGCTAGTATTTTTATATCAAGATCAAATTTGTATTACAATTGTTAACCCAGGAGTGGACGGATGTGGTCTATTGATTCATGCAAGAATTAAAAATGATTGTATTTTCACTGTTATTTATTTTATACAAAAGATCTTTTCAGTACCTTTCAATAATTGCTCACTCCAACTAATGGCGATATTTTTGGACAAATTTATTTTTCGGTTTTAAGATATTTGAAAATTTGTCCTGACAGACCCTACGCGCCCACTCGTGTTGCTTTTGGAAGTTAAGATTCATAATATACTTGTAGTGCAGTTTTTTCGGTTTTTACTTAAAATATAATTTGTTTGTGGCTTTTAACGGATTTACTAAATTTTTGTCTGCTCTGTATGTATACATTTTACTTGTATTTTTCACATGTTTTTTGTAAAACCCCGATTTTATTAAAAAATTTCAGCTACTTAGAAAAATAAGTTCTTATTGATACAATTCGACTTTCAGGGACTCCCCAGATGTAAATACCGATGCAATTACCCCTCGGTGTACCCCCGAATTTTTGAATCGAGTACTTTACTTTCTTCTTTTATATAAAGGGACAATAATGATTCATTCATGCCACAGATACAGACAAGAAGCTACAGACGAAGAATCAGAAGAAGGAGAATCTGTTTCAAAAGAGAGCAGATCAGTTTATTATTATGGTAATGATGGGACGAAATGGAGAAAAGAAGCTTCACCCCTAAATGTTCGTACTTGGGCAAGGAATATAATTACACATTTGTCAGGAGTTGCGGGAATGGATAGAAATGCTTCTACACATGTTGCATGTTTTATGCTGTTTTTTGGTGATATCCTTCCCATCATCATAGAAAATACTAATATATTCATTCGAGCTAACGCACACAAGTATGCTACTAAATATGACACAAAAGACACTAATGAGTGTGAAATAAAAGCATTATTGGGTTTATTAATTTTGCTGGATCTCAACATGGTGGTCAAATAAATTTGTTGGAGTTTTATGGTACTGATGAATTGGTAGCAGAGATATTTCCTGCTACAATGGCTTTCCGACGAGTCAGGTTTCTATTGAGATGTCTAAGGTTCGATGATATTAATAGTAGAGAAGAAATAAAAGCGCTAGATAAACTTGCACCGGTAAGAAGCATTGTTGAAACGCTTATTACCGATTTAACCAGAAATGCAAAGCTAATTATTCTCCTGCGCAATATATAACACTCGATGAAATATTACTTGCATTTCGAGAAAGGTGCAGTTTTAAAATGTATATGTATGTATAGATGCTGTAGGGGAAGGGTGAGATAGCTGGTTCGATGATTTAAGAGGTAAATATTTGAAAAATTATATTCCCACCTTCCTACATTTGGTAGATAAAAAATGAATAAAACCTCGAAGGACCAATAGGTCGCAAAATTGCGAATTAGTAATAATGTAGTGAGTAGTAAAAGTAAAAATAGAATAATTAAAATAAGAATAAAAGCTAGAAATATTTTTATTATATTATTTACAGAAATAAATAGAAATAGCAGAATCCCCAACAAATCACCCTTTTATAATAATAAAATATAAATGTTCATATACAATGTTCTTAAACACACAACTGTTTATATTAATTTATACAAGAAAGTTTATATGTAGTTTATTGAAAATCCGGCAACCCTGTAATTTGTCGGACCGGCATTTATGTAATGTTGGCACAAAACTGTAGATTATCTTCTGTATAAAAGAATAATTTCAGGTACTTACATATTCGATGCACAGACACTGAATTTAGTATAGTTAATTAACTATTTAATAAAATATGTTATTTGAAAACTGCTTCTATTTGAGAAGCGTGAGAATTATGACTTGCTTCTATTTGAGAAGTTGAGAAATGATTTGACTTACGTCCTTCTATTTGAGAAGGCAAAAACGAAGTGGCGTTAAGGGTAGTTGGGTTTGAATAGTTTACTGTAAAATTCTGACAGGCGCAGAAGATACGAAACAGCACGAAGAAGGAATGTCGTGCTGATCGTTTAGACTTTAATTTAGTTTAAGTTTAAGTTTAGTAAGATAGTTGTTTAGTGGAATAATAATAGTTATTAAAATAAAAAACAAACTATTGTAGAAAATATAATTAATTTTCTACAGATGCTAGGACCTTTTATATAACACATTTAGAAATTTATGCTGAAACTCAGCCTGACGGACCTTTCAAGATTGAGAACTCCACTGGTGCTGTAACCGAAATAATGTGCGTACACTTATCTGAAACACAAAAAATATTACAATGGAAATTTGTTTTACTTTTGTTTATTTGCAGTCTCACTTCTTTGATTGTCTGTGAAAGTTTATTAGGCATAATTTCGGCAACTGGAAGTTTATTACCGCCGATTTTTATGCTTGTCTTGTACCAATTGAGTTTGCTGAAAGCATATCCAACTTGGGTGACAACATGTCTGCTTGTCCAACAACTCTTTCGAATGGGAACGCGTTAGTTTTTTGATGAAGTTGAACACTTGCTGTTGATTTTTTTTATATATTTATAAATTAAACGGACGTATCTATTATCTACACGACACTGGGTTAAAGCCCTGAATGTTTTGTTCTATCATACCGAAAGCCTTTTGCAAATCAACAAAAACTAGTATTAGTATTCTAAGGTTTTTATGGCTAAAAGAAGATTTTGGCACCGAAACCTGAGTGAAAACCAGCTTGATCTATTGGTTTATAGAGGTTCAGTTCATTTTCTAGTATTCTAGTCTATAGGTTATTATTTTGGTAAAAAGTTTATCGAAATGGAAGAAGAGGCTTATAGGTATATAGCTTTCGAATTCCGTAAGGTCTCTTTTTTATAGATTAATTTCATTAAAACGTCGTTCCAATCTCTTGGAATTATACTGTCATCTAGACATAAATTGAATAGCAATTTTTTAGATGAGAACTTCTCCCTTTTACTTGAATAACTTCCACTACTATACTATCTTCTCCAGGTGCTTTCCCATTTTTTATCTTTTTGAGCCCATGTTTTATTTCGTCCTTTGTAATATCTTCTAACCCCTGTTTAAATACCTTTGTATGTCTTATGAACCCTGTTTAACCACTCCCCTTCTTGTTTCTATATTCTTGGGGTGCTCTGGATCTTTTGTTGGCTCGATTTTTTGTTGCATCTGCTCTTTATTGTAGTGTCTAATGTTATTTAGAATACTTCTGAAGATCTCTTTGTTTATAGCACTAATTTTATGTGATGCTAGGTTGTTGCGATTCAACTTTCTTTGTTGTTCCATTAAGGCATTGTCGTGGGAGCGGATTCTATTCTCATTGTCCCGCTTTGGGCAGTATTCGTTTGTTTTATATATTAGTGTTTCTGTTATTGTCTTGGTTAACTTGTTTAATTAATGTCTGTTTTTTTCTGTATTTTCTAATGCTTTAGCTACGGTTTTGTTAAACTTTTGTGAATTTTCTGGATCTAGCCATGTTTTTCTTGTTGAATTGTTATCATTCGCCATCTTTCCTTCTTAATGTTTATACCTGCTGAAGCTCCTATGATTGCTATGATCACCATCCTATGATTGCTACAAATCAGTTCAGATTTTATTTAATTTTTTGTTTGACTTTCCGTTCTTATCCAAGTCTATCTTTTATGCAGTTTTTTGTGAAGGAAGCTGTTCATTAGGTATATAAGTCCTAATTCACCGAACACTGTTTCCGATTCCTCCCCCTGTTCATTACAATCTCTATACTATCTATCTATCTAATTAGCCTTCTTCGGTCCATCTTTAAACATAGGCCTCCCCAATCCTTTTCCATTCTTCTCTGTCTGTCGCTACAGTCATCCATCTAGAGCCCACGTGCTTCTTGATATCATCTGCCCATCTCATTTGGGGCCTTCCTCTGCTTCGTTTATATTCCCACGGTCTCCAACTTATAAGAATTTTGTTCCATCAGTCTTCTTTTTGTCTTATATTGTGTCTGGCAAATCTCCATTTCAATTTTGCAACTTCTTGGCTAACATCCCTCACTTTTGTTTTCTCTCTTATCCACTCGTTTCTCTTCTTATCCATTGGTCTTATGTGCAACATTTGTCTTTCCATTGCTCTTTGGGTTTTTATGATTTTGTCCATGCTTGCTTTTGTAGATGTCCACGTTTGAGAACCATAAGTAAGAACAGGGAGTACGCATTGATTATATACTTTGGTCTTAAGATGCTGTGGATATCTTTTGTTTTTAAGAATGTAGCTTAGTTTGCCAAATGCCGCCCATGCCAGTCTAACTCGTCTCTTGATCTCTGCTGTTTGGTTCTCTTTGTTAAGTTTTATAGTTTGACCAAGATATATATTATAATCCTTAACTTGTTCTATTTCATCTTGTCCGATTCTCATTGTGATGTCTTCATCTGTATTTGTTATATTTTTGGTCTTGCTGTAATTCATATTAAGGCCTATCTTTCCAGCTTCTACGTCCAGTTCTTTCATCATTTCAAATATTTCTTCTTTTTTATCGGTTCTTTTATATCCATCTAAGGTATCAGCATACCTTAGATGGATCAAGTATTGTCCACAAATTTTTATACCTTTTTTTCCCATTCTAATCTTTTAAAAGTATCTTCAAGAGGCTGATTGAAAAGTTTCGGTGATATTGTATCACCCTGTCTCACGCCTCTACTTATTTGTAATGATTTTGTTCCTTCATATACTTTAATTGTTGTTTTGGCTTCCTCTAAAATCTCTATACAGTATGGTAAAATTTGTTTTTGTTTTATGTAATGCAGTATCCTTCCGACGCTACGTTTCTATTTATTGTTGAAGAGTTACTTAGGATCATCTTTTTTGTTAAAACGTGTACAAAATCATAATCATCGAAGATCATCTTTTGTTTAGAATGAGTTTTGCAATTTGTTTTAAAAAACTGTTTAAATAAATTCTGACCATTTTTTGCATGAACTACATTTTGTTACTTATGGAGCATATAACGAACGTGAATATGCAAAAAACTCTCATAATGCAAGATTCCACTATAGGATCACTACGTTCATAACGTAGTTCATCCAACTCACGTTTATACATACATTTAAAATTAGGAGAATACATTGATAATAGGTTGCCAGGCAAAGGAAGAATTCCATACTTTTTAAACAAGAGTTTGCAGCTGGCGCTATATTCTGCTGAGACAATAATTCAGATTGCTGCTTTTTCAAAAGGGAAAATTTTATATGCATATGACGAGTTTCTTTAAAGAATTATGCGATATGTCAGAATACTGTGAACCATTCCAAAATACACTGACCTAAGAATATCTCGACTCACAGAAGTAGCCCTGCGTATGGCAAAAATCTGTGAGGCGAGCTTCACAGATGGTGCGACCAGTTCAACCTTGTATCCATAGTAACACCTGGTAACTTTACTGGTTCAGATGATTTAACCCATCTACCAGAACTAAATACTATTGTCTGGGTTTTCTGCTCGTCTAACATAAGTTGGTTACAGTTAAACCAGGATTTAGATTTTTCTAATATTTCTTGTCTGTAATTAGTTTTACCTCTACATAATAAAATTATGTCATCTACAAATAGAACAGAGTTGGTATTTTCCAACGCACTTGGTAAATCATTTATATATATCAAGAATAGCAGAGGTCCCAAAACTGATTTTTGTGGTACTCCGGTTGAAACTAGTAGAGGATTAGATTCTTGATTATTAAATGGAACAATCTGTTCTTCCTGTAAGATATGATTTTAAGAGGTCGTGTATGGTATCCCTTAGTATATAGTATTCCAATTGTATCAATAGTGTTTGAATATACATACAACCAAAAGCTTTTGTAAGGTCACACATTAATCCATTAGTAGGTTCACCTATCAAGACCGTGAACAATATGTTCTATTGCTTCTAATAAAGCTATAATTGTCGAGTATTTTTTTCTAAAACCAAATTAAGAACTAGATATAATTGATTTGTTATCCAAATAATTTGTTATACGATCTTTAATTAAGATTTCAAAAGTTTTACTTATTATTGGTAATATGGTAATAGGTCTGCAATTGTCTGGAGCATTTTTATTTCCTTTTTTTTAAGTGGATTTAATTTTGATATTTTGAATACATCAGGCCAGTAACCCTCGGTAATACGTTTGTTAAATATTATTGTAAGTGGTTCAATAATTATATCTAGAGATACCTTAATAATTTTACTGTTAAAACCATAGTAGTCAACACATATTGTTTCGAAGCTATTTTCTCGTTGCATTTTAAAGTAATTACTATTTAAACGAGAATAAGCCATTGTTTGTATTTTGAGAACAATTTCCGAAGTGGAAATTGAAACGTCAATAAACGTACTTTAACCTTTAATTGTGGCTTATTCCAATTTAAATAGTAATGAGTCAACATCTAAGGAATTTTTTAATTTGTGTATGTATTATTTCACATCAGATGCTACTATTGGGGCTATAAAGAACGAACTCGACCTTTTAGGTAGCCTGCTAAGATAGTAGTTTATGTCATACTTAGAGTTTCCTATTAGTTTCTATATAATATCTGCTATATTCGTAAATTATTGATTAATCTCTTCTGGTGTTAAGTTCAGATTGGACGTAATATTTTTCTTATAGGTTTCTTTTTCAAGAATACTCCATACTGTCTAACGTTTGTTAGTGAATTTGTTTACTATGTTAGCATAGCCAGTACGTATATCAGTTTGCATTTCTTACGCATTTGACAATATTTAATCCAATTGTCAGTAGTATATGTTTTCCTATAAGTTGCTTTACAATCGTAGAGTTGCTTTCTTAAATTTCGAAGTTTGCGAATGTCGAAACAAATAAAATTTTTTTAGTCGGAAAATCTAAATTTAGGGAATTTTTTACGAGTTCTTGCTATGTGTCAATATTAATAAATGTGACTGTCAATATTAATATATATTCAGGGATTCTACAGTGTTCACTGCCTTCCCTCGCTCAACCGTTTCCAGTTTCCATCTCTCTCTCTCTCTCTCTTTCTCTCTCTCTCTCTCTCTCTCTCTCTGTTGTTCCATTTTCCATCATTTAGACCTCTCTTACTCATGGCGTCGTCTACTTCGTTCCTACAGGATCTTCGGGGTCATCCTCTTTTCCTCCTTCTTATGGGGCTCCATTCGGTTATTCTCCTTATCCATCTGCTGTCGCTAGCTCTTCTTACATGTCCATACCACTTTGGTCTTTTTTGTTCTATATATGTTAGTATGTCTGTTTCTATTGATGTTCTTTGCTTTATTTCGTCATTACTTCTCCTATTCATTCTTGTTACTCTGTAGCATCTTCGCAGGCATTCCATTTCTGTTGCTACTATCTTACTGCTGTTTTTCTTGTCTATAATCCAATTTTCATCCCCGTATGTCATTATACATCGCACTAATGTTTTATAAATCTGTGTTTTTGTCTTCATATCATGTATATCCCACCATACTGAGTTAAGTTGTCGGATTGCTGTTCTTATTTGTCCTAATCTTTGCTTAATTTCTTCCTCTATTGTTGCCTTTTTCGTAATTATAAACCCCAAGTATTTCAATTTATCCTTTCCTTTGATTGTTACGTTGTCATCAATTTGTAGATCTTCTATGTCTTCTTCACTTGTCGATAGGTACTCTGTTTTCGCGATGTTAATATCAAGCCAGCCTTGGTATATTTTTTGTTATAGTTTCTTCATCATGTAGCTGAGGTCGTCTTGGTATTGTGCAATCACTACTTGATCATCTGCAAAGCTTATCGTATATAGGTATTCGTTCCGTACCGGTACTCCCATGCCTTCGCATTTTCTTTTCCATGTAGTCAAAGCTTTCTCTAAGTATATTTTGAATAGGGTTGGAGATGTGGAATAACTCTGCAAGAGCCATTTTGTTGTGGTGAAGTCTCCTATGATTCTTGTTCGCACTTCAATGGACACTTTATTTTCTTTATACAAAGCTTTTGTAGCTTCTATGAGTTCTGTCTGTATTTCTAATCTGTAAATTGCCTCCCATAGTTCTGACCTTGGTACAGAGTCATACGCCTTTCTCAGGTCTACGCCAAATGTATATCTCTATTTTTTGTTTTTTTTTCTTTTCAAACAGTTGTTCCAGTGTGTATATGTGGTATATGCATGATATTCCTGCCGTGAAGCCTGCCTGATCCTCCCCGATTTTGCCTTCGCTTGCTCTATCTTCTTTCGCAGTATCTTCCCATATAATCTTCCTATTGATGATAATACGCTTATTCCTGTAGACTGCCTCCAGGTCCCGGTGCTTTCTTATTTTTGATTGCTTTTATGGCCGTTCTCATTTCCCTATCTGTTATTTCTATTTCTTGTTGTGGGGATCTGCTTCGTCTTCGCCTGTTTTCTTTTCCAATGAATTGTGGTCTTTGTTCTGTTAATAGTTCCTTGTAATAGTCCTTCCATTCTTTGTCCTGTATATTTCATAATTTAATTTTTTCTTTTTAGTTTTGTTTCAATCCTCTCAGTACTCTCCATGACTCCGAAGTTCTTGTACCTCCTATGTATGTTTCAATATTTAAGCAGGTTCTTTCCCATTCCTTATTCTTTTGTTGTGATATTTGTTTTTCACTTCTCTATCTTTTTCTCTATATTCTTTATAAACTTCATCGTTGTTTGTAGTCAGCCATTTTCTGTATAGTTGCTTTTTTTCTTCAATTATTCTTTTTGTTGATTCATTTATTTCATAATAGTGCTGTTTATTTGTTATATGTTCTTTTTCTCCAAGGGCTTCGAATGCTGCTTGTTTTATACTCGCCTTTATATGCTCGTATATTTCTTCGATGTTGCCGTATCTAAATTCTATTAATTTTTGGTCTAGACGTTGTTGGTATAGTTCTCTTATTAATTGTTCTTGGAATAGTTCTATATTGTATTGTTTTTCTCTTATAGTGTTCAACGGTCTTGAGGGGGTCTTGTTATGTTTCCAATTAATGCCCATTTTTGCTGTCAGTAGTTTATGGTCCGTTCCACATTCTGCTCCTCTTCTGACTCGCACATCTTTGATCTTTATTTTGGTATCTTGCTTGATTATTATATAGTCTATTATCGATTTCAGCGTATGTGTTTCTTGCGTCCATGTATATTTATAAATATTTTTATGTCTGAAGAATCCGTTAGTGATTTTTAGGTTGTTTAGTTCGCATAATTCAATCAGACGTTCTCCGGTATCGTTTTGTTCATCCTCTCCAAATCTCCCCACTACTTTATCGTTTTCTTTCCTTCCGGTTTTGCCGTTAAGGTATTCTGTTATAAAATTCTCCACGTTGTTCTTAATTAGCTCTCAAGCTCAATATTAATAAAATAAGATAAATCTTCCGAATCAAAGTTACAGGAAAGATTAAAAGATAATATATCATATGGTATATACTTCGATAGTTTATGTTATTTTTAAACTTACCCTTCGGGAAAACATCTGAAATAAAAATTAGGTCGTGGTCTGCCGACACTTAGTTTTAGTACAGAAGTCAACAAAGCATCAATACAATATGCTAATGTCAAACCATAAACGCTACAAATTATTTCCGGAATCGTCGCTCGGTCTTTTCTATATATTAAATAGTGCCCTAAATATATAAGACATGGGACCAAAATCATGACAGCATACAAATATCTTCTGGGAAAATAACTATCAACAGAGGGGTAGCGATACATCCACAGCTCGTCCTCATCTATGTGACGAATTACTGGAGTAAACTTCTCTAACCATCTAAAATGATAAATTTATTTTAAAAAGATACTAACCTTAACATTAAAACATAAACATATACAGAGTGGCCCAAAAGTCTGGAAACGGCTAATTATCTCGTAAATTACTAGACATAATTATACAAAATTTGAGATACGCCTATTTTGGGATACGGAGATTCCATATTTGGTATTTGCAATGTTGCCAGATTTTCAGTTTCTCCTATATTACTAGTAACTTTGGTTTTTCAAATGCATCACCCTGTATATTCAGTCATTATTGGAATCTCCTATTAAATCCGAGTTTAACCATATGTAACACTTATGATTTTATGTAGTCTGGAAGGTCTTAAATACATAAAACAGAAGTCTGGCAACGCCTAAATTGTTTCAATACATTTTTTAATACTAACTATTTTCAAATACATTAAAACGTAACAATTGAATGTTTAGAATATTTTTTAACATAATAGTTACGTTATTAAGTGTTCAAAATGTGCTCCATTTGTGAGTTGATATCACTCTAATCGATAGTAGAATGCGTCTACCACATTTCTCCATGATTGCCTAGAAATTATTCGAGATTCATCGATAATTCATTGCCTTAGCTATGCAAGACTTGCTGGTTAAGTTTTGTAAACTGAATTTTTCAAGTATCTCTAATAAAAATAAACCTTTAGGATTGAGATCGGGTGATCGTGGAGGCCATTCAATTCTACCTTGTCTACCAATTTATCACCCGGGAAATATCTCATCTAAATAACGCCGAACATTTACACCAACTATCTGACGTTAAATTTCTTTCGATAAAAAATGGCCCAATTAAATAAGTACGTACTATAACTGACCATACATTTAATTTTTGTGGTCTTTGAGTATGGTTTTCACGCATTCGGTGTGAATTTCACACGAGTTCAGCTATTCAATACGAGTTCAACCATATGTTCACTTGATTTTATGTAGTCTGAAAGATCTTAAATACATAAAACAGTGCAAAATATGTAGATTTTATTAAATTTAAATATTTAAATGGAGAATGCTGTGATTTTGACATTTGTTCACCATTTAAATTATGAACTAAAATTGACAGTAGTTGTGGTTCAAAAAGTTCTGCAATTTAAATTACTTCTCTAAAATACCGTTCTCTAAACCGTTCTCCTATTCATAAGACGACGGTACAAAAAACTGTAAGACAATTTAATGAAGACGATCTACAAAGACTAACCCACAGATTCAACAAAAGGGCAAAGGACTTTAATATGGTGATCTCTACACAGAAAACTAAAACAATTGTAATCAGTAAAGAACCAATTAGATGTAAACTGGAAATCGACGGTATCAGCATTGAGCAAGTAATGGAGACAAATTACCTAGGAATTACACTGTCTAGCTACGGAGATGTGGAGAAGGAAGTGAAAAATCAAGTACAAAAGGCTAATAAAATAGCAGGTTGTCTTAATAACACGATATGGCGCAATCCCCACATTAATACCGACGTGAAATCAAGAATCTACAAAGCAACAATAAGACCAATAATGACATACACTTCAGAGACAAGACCGGATACCTCCAAAACTCAGCAACTACTAGAAACCAATTGCGTTTACTGAGGAGAATTACAGGAAACACACTGAGGGATCGAATGAGGAGTGAAGAGATCAGAAGAAAATGCAATATACCAGAAATAAATAAAAAAAAGGTAGAAGAAGTATCGAGCGACCACGCAAAAGATGGAGTGATAACCTCCAATAGAGGCATTAATCGACATTGAACAAGCATTTTGCTTATAAAAAAGAAGAAGAAGAAGAAGAAATTGAGGAATCTGGAGAAGTAAAAGATAGATACCGATCAGGTTGACCGAAACGAGTTATCAATGACAACAAAACTTCAGATATAAGCAAAGTTTTGTTGAAGATCCACATACATCCCCAGGCAGGGTTGCACATTTGCACAAGTACATGATGTAGGTCATTCTTCAGTCTTACGTTTATTACGTAAAAATAAATTTAAATCATACAAAATTAACTTATTGCAAGAATTAAGTGAAGAAATGACTTTGGTCGTAGATTAGAGTTTACTGAGGTAATGGTGGATAAGATTGAAAATTATTAAAATTTCGTTAACAGAATATGTTTTTTCCGATGAAGCAACTTTTACACTGTGTGGAAGTGTAAATCGACACAATTTAAGGTACTGGTGTGACGTAAATTCACACTGAAGACTGAATACGTGAAAACCATACTCAAAGACCACAAAAATTAAATGTATGGTCAGATATAGTAGTTACTTATTCAATTGGGTCATTTTTTGTCGAAAGAAATTAAACGTCAGATAGTTGGTGTAAATATTCGGCGATATTTAGATGAGATATTTCCTGGACGATAAATTGGTAGATAAGGTAGAATTGAATGGCCTCCACGTTCACCCGATTTCAATCCTAAAGATTATTTTACAAAAAAGATTATTACAAAACTTAACCAGCAAGTCTTGCAGAGCTAAGGCAACGAATTATCAATGAATCTCGAATAATTTCTGGACAATCATGGAGAAATGTGCTAGACGCCTTCTACCATCGATTAGGGTGCTGTCAACTCACAAATTGAGCACATTTTGAACACTTAATAACGTAACTACTATGTTAAAAAATGTTCTAAACTATCAATTGATAGGTTTTAATGTATTTGAAAATAGTTAGTATTAAAAAATTTATTGAAACAATTTTGGCGTTGCCAGACTTCGGTTTTATTTATTTATGACCTTCCAGATTACATAAAATCATAAGTGTTACATATGGTTGAACTCGTATTGAATAGGAGATTCCAATAATGACTGAATATACAGGGTGATGTATTTGAAAAACCAAAGTTACTAATAATACAAGAAAAACGGCAAATCTGGCAACATTGTAAATATCAAATATGGAATCTCCGTATCCCAAAATAGGTGTACCTCAAATTTTGTACAATTATGATTAGCATTTTACGAGATAATTAGCCGTTTCCAGACTTTTGGGCCACTCTGTATGTAGAAAAGTACCTATATACATTATATTGTATTATATTATATTGTCTTCTTCTTCTTTTTGTGCCGCTCCTATCGGAGATTGGAAATCATCAAGGCTATTCTGACCTTGTTTACGGCTGACCTAAAGAGTTCATTAGTGGTGCAGCCATACCACTCTCTCAAATTCCGCAACCATGACATTCTTCTACGGCCTGGATTCCGTTTTCCTTCTATTTTTCCCTGCATTATATTTTGAAGTAATGCGTATTTATGTCCTCTCATCAGGTGACCAAAATATTCGAGTTTTCTTCGCTTTAGCGTTAACAAAATCTCTGGGTCTTTTCCTATTCTTCGTATTACTTCACAGTTTGTTATTCTTTCAACCCAACTAATCTTCAGCATTCGACGGTAGCACCACATCTCGAAACTTTCAATATTTTTTATGTTGTTCTGTTTGAGAGTCCAGGCCTCTACACCGTATAATAGAGTGTTAAATACATAGCCTCTCAGCATTCTTAATCGTAGAGGGATGCTTATATTTCTGTTACAGAAGAATTTTCTCATCTTTATGAAGGTGGCCCTAGCAATTTCGATACGTCTTTTTATTTCACTGTTTTGGTCTCCAGTTTCGTTTATTAAAGTTCCCAAGTATTTGTAACTTGATACTTTTTCAACTTGAGTGCCGTTTATACTAATATACGCTGGTTGTGTCATGTTTTTACTGAAGACCATATACTTGGTTTTTTTAATATTGATATTTATACCATAATTGTTGCAAGCAATATTTATGTTTGTAAGTAATCTTTGTAATTCTTCTACTGTTCTTGCAACTAGTACAGTGTCGTCCGCGACACTGTACTAGTATATTGTATATGCTGTATATACAACAGTACACTGTATACAACAGTACACTGTACTAGTATATTGTATATGCTGTATATATATGCTGCATATAATATACAATATGTATATTGTATATTATATTGTATATGCTGTATATACAATAATAATTTAAAAGTATAAATCATGTCTTTTCCATGTCTCTGTTGTCTGTTTGTAGCGGCAAATTCTCTACACGAATAAACTGGGCAATATCGTGACCAAATCTAGAATGTAATCAATGTAATAACAAACATGATACAATATTATTATATTACACTATATTCTCATGTCAGCCTCATTCGCCAACATTGGGCATAAGCCTTCCAAAAGTTCTTCCATTCGTATCTGTTTGTTGTATTGCTATAATCATTCACCTTTGGCCTAGGAATTTTTTAATGTCATCAACTAATCGTATTTGCGATCTTCCTTAAACTATCCTTTTTTGGTCAAGGTGTCTATTGTACGCAGTACTTAGTAAGAACTAAAAAGATACAAGCTCATGATTTCTGCTCTTCAGGAGCCAAGATGGCTGGGGACAGGTGTCAGGGATACTGAAACGTACACAATTCTATATCTTCTTCTTCTTTCGGTATCCTGTCCGATTATCGAACGTTGGCGATCATATTGGCAATAAGAACTTTGTTTACAGCGGTTCTAAATAAATTAGCGGTGGATTCTTGATACCATTCTCGGAGATTTCGGAGCTAGGATGTTCTTCGTCGGTCTGAGCCTCTCCTTCCGGCGATCTTACCCTGTATTATGAGGTGTAGAAGGTTAAACCTCCCTGGATGAGTCTCGTTACATGACCCAAATATTGTAACTTTCGAATTTTATCGTTTTTATTATTTCTGTCCTCTTTTGTCTACCAGACAAAGAGAAGAGAAGAAAAGAAAATACACAGAATGAAGAAACGAAACCACTTTAAAAAGGAACTTTATTATATAGAAAACCTCAACAGACAGAAAGAATTTAGAACATTCTATAAGAAAGTTAACATCAACAGAAAAGAATTTAAGAAAAACACAAATCAATGTAGAAGTTTGAATGGCGATATATTAACAACAAGAACAGTCGTACTAAATCGATGGACGGAATATTTTATCCAGATACTTAATATAGAGGAAAAAGAAGAAAACCCAAACAAACTAGCTAGAAACAAATACCCAGAATAGATAATCTCCCAGCGGAATTATATAAAGAAGGTGGCCACGATATCATAATAGGGCTACAGCAGCTTATAGAAGAAATACGGATACAGAAGTCCCTTCCCAGTGATCCGTCCCCTTGAGGTTCTCAAATCCGTCTCGGGACGGATTTAGGAATCTTTTCATATATTTTTCTTTCAATAAAATTTTAATTTTCCCTGACTACTTAAATTATTTTTTTATGAATATATACTTTGCTTAATCTTGAACGTGTTGTTATTAAACTTAGAGTTCTGTGAAAAAGATGAAAATTTTAAGAATTACGTAAATTGATAAATCAATAATAAATCAATAAGATCACGAATTGAAAAAGCGCGAAACGCGTTCAACAATATGAAAAAGTGGTTCACAAGCAAAATCTCAATGGAACATGGAACTAAAATTAAGACTGGTCAAGTGTTATGTCTTTCCGGTCTTGTTCTATGGAGCAGAGGCATGGACCACAACGGAAGCCACCCTGAAGAAACTAGAAATCCTTTGAGCTGTGGATATATCACCGTATTCTTCGGACATGTCATGAGGCATACTAACTACCGGCTGCTAGAGTTAATAGTCCAAGGAAGAATCGACAGTAGGAGGGGACCGGGAAGAAGACGACACTCATGAATGCATAACCTGCGACAATGGTTCGGACTAACATCGACCGAACTGTTCAGAGATGCCGTAAACAAATTCAAAATACCCTTGTTAATATCCAACGTCCGAAACGGATAGGGCAAAGGAGAAGAAGAAGAAGAAGATAAATCAATACAAAAAAATTTGTTAAAATCCTTTATAAAAGGTATATAAAATTGCCTCAAACGGGCTATCACAAACACATTGCAAAACGTTTTCGGATTAAACAATCCATCATCAGTGCAAACGGTTGTACATGCTAGTAGCCACCAAAATATATGGGTAAAAACCCCTTAAAAGTTATAAATTTGACATTATTTTACATTATTAGTTTTTATAGTTTGTGATGGTTAAGTTACCGTTGGATAGGTAACATGGCGGCGTATGACTCTACATGAGTAAAATGGTCCTGAGACGAAGTGCCTACGAGGACCTGTTGATAACAACTGTGAGTCAGTTGTTATCAACAGATCCTCGTAGGCACTTCGTCTCAGGACCATTTTACTCATGTAGAGTCATACGCCGCCATGTTACCTATCCAACGGTAACTTAACCATCACAAACTATAAAAACTAATAATGTAAAATAATGTCAAATTTATAACTTTTAAGGGTTTTTTACCCATATATTTTGGTGGCTACTAGCATGTACAACCGTTTGCACTGATGATGGATTGTTTAATCCGAAAACGTTTTGCAATGTGTTTGTGATAGCCCGTTTGAGGCAATTTTATATACCTTTTATAAAGGATTTTAACAAATTTTTTTGTGATATATGGTATACAGCCAGCTACAGGAACTTAGTTTCCTCGTGAAATCAATACAAGTTCTAAATTTTTTCAGATGCCACAACGCAAAGCGTGGAATCCTGATACCATGGTGAGAGCTATCACTGCTGTGAGATGTAAAGAAATGGGATATAAAATAGCTGTTAAGACCTTTGGTGTTCCGAGGGCTACTTTAAAAGATTATGTCAAATCTGACCGCACACCAGATGAATGTGTGAAATCAAAATTTGGAAGAAAGCCAGTTTTTACAGCTGACCTCGAGAAAAGTCTTGTCAAACACTGTCTGGATATGTAGCAGCATTATTATGGACTGACTATTTCTGACCTGAGGCGATTGGCTTACCAGCTAGCCATTTTAAACCAAGTACCTCATTCTTTCTCGAATGAATCAAAGGCTGCTGGCAAAAAGTGGGTTAAACTATTTTTCAAACGCCATACAGAGCTTTCCCTTAGACGACCACAGAACTTGTCAATGGCTAGAGCTAAAGGATTCACAAAAGAAAATGTTCATCTGCTCATGACAAGTATTTCTCTATCCTGAAGCCTGAAAGGTGGTATTTCCACTTAAAAGGTGGTAGGAAAAATTGCTTGACGGAGCTCCTCCGGGGTCGATAGGTGGATGTTCAGATTCAGGTTAAGACTGGTCTATTGTTTCTTAAGTGGTTTAAAATTGTAGTGTGTAAAGTGGTTTCAATTGTGAACCCAACAAAAGAAAAGCCTGTTGTGCTTATCCTTGATGGTCACTATTTCTACACTAGAAATCTCAAACTTATTGACATTGCAAGAGAGTCAGGAGTATCTATAGTTTGCCTTCCTCCACACTCAACAGACAGGCTACAGCCTTTGGATGTATCGTTTATATTTCCTTTGAAAACAATGGTTGGCTAGTAACCCAAATATAGTTGTCAGGAAACTGCAAATATCTAGTCTCTTTTGTGAGGCGTATCTTCGTGCAGCTACTCTTGAAACGGCCGTCAATGGGTTTAGGAAGACTGGGATCCATCCATTAAATTCTGATGTTTTTCAGGAGCATGATTTTATTACTAGACAACTTGAACAGCAAGAGGTACCTGCCAATAGACGGGAGAATGACATCCAGAATGTTCCAGTTATCGAACCTTCCACATCTTCTAGAGCCGGTACTTCATTCTTGGTAACTGGAACTATTCACAAAACTTCTCTCAAAATCTCTTTACAAGAGAAACAAATGGCAGAAGAGAAGAGGCAGTCAAAGGCTAAGAAACGTCTCTTCATGGAAGATAAAAAAATCCTGGCACATCATTGAACAAACCTCCCAAGAAGAAAAAACGAAGTAAGATTTAAATTCAAGTGACTCTGAGGACGAAACAGAAGTTCCACTGGTATCAACCGATGATGAGGATAGTTCTGGTAATGAAGATGCACCATGTGCCATTTGTGGAAAACGTTTTTCACTAGACAAGCGAGGAGAAAATGGATAAGGTGTTCGGAATGCTTTAAGTGGTGCCATGAGATGTGTTGAACTTCAACCAAGGCCAAAAATTTTGTTTGTGATTTGTGTCTGGATGTGTAAATAGATAGAACTTATGTTTATAAACGTAGACCTAATGTTTACCTAAATTATTTGTCATTACTAAGTTAAAAATTTACTTACAAAAATATAATCCATATTCCTACCCGAAATCCGCTTTCTAAAATAAGATGTAAAGCTGTTGTTGTTTTATCCATTTTGTTATGATTTTATTGTGATGATTAATTATGAGTTGAATGTTCTTAATACACTAAAATTTTGACATATAAATCTTAGGTTAACAGAAAATGCGACATCATAGTTAACTACATTTTGTACTTGTATATTTGACAAAGTATATTGTCCTGGTAACTGTAATAGGTCGGATGTGAAAAAATACGATTTTTGGTGTAATACATATACGTGATCAATTAAACCAAAGTACACCTACTTCATAAGTTTTATGTCGATGGGGACATTTGCAAGTCGACAACCTGGGCTTTTGCAATAAGTTGAATCGTATATTTAGTGTACATCAGTTTTTTTTACTATTTGTCGGATCGTAAATATTTGATCTATTGTTGATCTTCCATCATGAAAGCCGCATTGACAGTCGCTTAGAATATCTTCCGAATACGGAGTGAGCCTCTTTAGCAAGATAATTGATATAACTTTATCCGCTGTGTTAAAAAGCGATAGTAGTATAGGTGTAGCGGGTAGGAACTCTTTAAATTCTTGAAGATAGTGTTATCAGGGAAAATGAATCAATCCCTGCGCTTCGCAGATTCCGGGGTTTTCCTGACCCGGGAAACTAGTACCTGATTAGGGTCCCTTGTCCAGGGTTACGGATGAAGTCCACAACGGCAGCCACGGCGGAGAGGCAAGACTTCGGTACAGTGCGGATGGCGTAAGTGGCAACCCTCGATTTTAGGGTTGATAAAGAATCAAGTCAAATACGGTACGGTAGGTGTAAGGGCACTCGTTTGTCCTGAGATAGAGAAATCTATCTCGAAGGCGGATGAACCATGGAATGGTCAACGGCATAAGGATGCAGACGGCAACGAGCATCACTGCATTAAAGACTCGTAGAGTACCCCTAGAAATCGCCATGGCAATTAGTGACAAGCATCACCGTACTAATCATGGTTCTCGGATGCCAAGATTCGGCAGGGGAGAAATAACAATGATAAAAGGGCTCCTCAGGTCGTTAACCAATGAAATCCCTGCGTACTAAAAATACAAAATTCAAATTTTAAAATAGCGACATGGAATGTTAGAACTCTGGAAAACTAAGGAACATAGGACAAGAAATGATGCGACTTAAAATCGACATATTGGGAATAAGTGACACAAGATGGCTCGACTCCGGCGAACTAAGTACAACTAATGGTCGACTTTTCTACTCTAGTAGTACCGACAGCCAACATTGGTATGGAATAGCAATTAATGTCAGTAAAAAAGTTGCGAAATCAGTTGTAGGCTTCATACCAATATCGGAAAGAATTATGCTAATACAAATGATGACAACACATGGGAAATTAAACCTTATTCAGATTTATGCGCCAACTGCCGATAAAACAGAGAAAGAAATTGAAAAATTTTACGATGACCTTCAAAAAACCCTACAAAATACAACATCTAGAGATATAACAGTAGTCATGGGTGATTTTAACGCCAAAGTTGGAGAAAGAAGATGTGAGTCTACTGTAGGACCATATGGACTCGGTGTTCAAAATGAAAGAGGAGAACGCCTTATAGAATTCTGCCTAGAACATAATCTTGCAGTAATGAATACTTTTTCAAACTGCCTAAACAACGCCTTTACACTTGGAAATCGCCACCTGACAAGGTCGATAAAATCGTTAGAAACCAAATTGAATATATTTTAATCAACCACAGATACCGAAACGCAATACAATCGGTGAAAGCGTACCCCGGTGCAGACGTGGCGTCGGACCACAATCATCTTGTAGCAAAATTCAAACTTCACTTAAAAAAGAACAAAAAGCTACAAAAGTGATAAACTAAACATTCAAAAATTAAAATTAGAAGATGTCAAAGAAAAACTGAAACAAGAAGTTAATGCAAACCTAGAATCCACACCGGAATCAATTGATGGTGATGTAGAACAACAGTGGCAATTCTTTAAAAATGCAATTATCTAAGTCGCAGATAACTCACAACAACCAGATGGAAGAAAGGAGATTGGATGACAGAAGAAATCTTGGAAATGATGGAGGACAGAAGAAGGCAAAAGAATATCAACATAACTCAGTATCAACAGCTGCATAATCAAATAAGAAGGAAAATAAGAGAAGCCAAAGAGACTTATTTCGCTAAAAAAATGGAAGACTTACAAAACAAATATGATAACTTCAATCTTCATAAGAAAGTTAAAGAATTAGCTGTGGTAGCAAAACAAAGAACCTCAAGCATATTATTGGACAAACAACGAAACATTTTAGTGGAGACGGAAGAAAAATTAGGAAGATGGAAAGAATATATAGAGGAATTATTCCATGGCCGGAGACAGGAAAATATAAATAAAGATAATCAGAGTAAAGACGAACAACCCGAAATAACAAAGTCAGAAGTTATGCATGCAGTAAAGTCCATGAAAAATAATAAAGCTGCTGGTTCAGATAAAATACCAAGAGAATTGCTAAAACTGGTCAATGAAAAAACATAGACCTCTTAGTCCAACTACTGCACATATTTCACAGAAATCATTCCACGTGAAATACTGACATCAATATTTATTTGATTATCGAACGATCAGTCTAATGTCACAAAACCATGCTAAAAACAAAACCCTGCAAAACCAAAACCCTGCTAAAAATCATCCATAATAGAATACACGCTAAGCTGGAGATGGATATTAGTGATTCCCAGTTCGGATTTCGGAATGGAGTGGGCACAAGAGAGACACTATTTTCTTTTAACGTGCTGACCCAAAGATGTTTGGATGTTAATCGAGATCTTTATGTATGCTTTTTAGACTACAATAAGCCATTCGATAAGGTAAAACATGACCGACTTGTTAGTGTCAAGAACAAGAGTAGAAAGAACTCAAAAACAAGAATCTGCAGGTGAGGGATGTAACATTGATATCAAATTTATACTACAGCCAACGATCAAATGTGAAAATTGGAAGAGAAGTGTCAGAAAAAGTGGAGATAAGGAGGGGGTCAGCCAAGGTACACTTTCTCCTTCTGCTTCTCTTTTTCCTTCCTTTGTGAATTCATTCTGAATTTGAATTGTTGTCTTCAGTATAGTCTTCAAATATTATAAACATTTCATCTAATTAGCGAAACAAAATGGTCAAACAAAATAGAATGGTCCATTTACTCGACACTCGAAGAGTCCCTTACAACATGCAAAAATTTCAATTTGTAAATAACATGATCTTTGAATGTATATTTGAATACTTGCAATTATTTTAATAAAAAAATTAGATGTATAATTAGATTTACTTACAATATTGTAAAAAATAGATTGATACATTTACATAAATAGGATAAAAATATATAAGTAAAATTTTTAGGAAAAGAAATTATTCTTTATTTCTATCTCTATCTATCTATATAAGGATTTTTACAGCTGTCGCCGCCTTCCTTCTGTCAGCCAACGTTTCCAGTCCTTTCTGTTCTGCCATTCTCCATCTCTAAGGTCTCGTCTTTCCATGGCCTCGTCCAATTCATCCCTACATGATCTTCGGGGTCTACCTCTTTTCCTCCTTCCTATTGGGCTCCAATCCGAAATCTTTGCTATCCACCTTGTATGATCTGTTCTTCTCACATGTCCATACCAAATTAAACGTTTTTCTTCGATGTAGCTGAGTAGGGTAGGGTGGGTAGTTTGGTACACTTTTTTTTGGGAGCTTATATTTTGGTACTGTTTGTATTAGTAAGTCCAGCAAACACAGGAATAGTTAGTATGATGATTCACTATACTATTTTTTGTGAACTATGTATAAATTTATAAATAATTTATGAAAAAAATAAAAATAAAATTACATACCTCATTTTCCCAATGTGCCCCATGGTGGGGCAGTTTGGTATCGTCGAGGGGTACTTTGGAACACATAGTCATCTAGCTGCCCCAATGGTCATAAACATGAAACTAATAACGAAATTGATCTTTTTGATGCATTTATTTATGATTTTCATAAAACAACACATACACACACAAAGTTTATAAAACATAGTTCATAAATGAAACAGGAAAGTTAATAGCAAGCCTTCTGGTACTCCCTGGCACTTCATTGGGTTTTGGCAGTTTAGCTACAATATCGCGTTTTAGAAGAGAGCTAATATCATCCTGTATCGGGTAAAAAAATCCATAATTTTGGTTTCTTCTCATAAATTTGACCACTGGTTCAGCTGGGTCGGTGATATCTTAAACACAGCCTACATAATGATATGTTGATCTTTTTGTCGCAAATTTTACAAGAATAAAATCCCCTACAGAAATGTTGGTATCGTCAAGTAAACCATTCATTTCATAATCTTCCGTCATGTCTATATCTGAATCAGATGAATTTTTCAATTCCAATGAGGCATCTGAATCACTTGATGAAGAACTAAGTTTCCTTTTTGGAGGTTTAGGTCTTACAATAGACCTCTTTTTTTACTATCAGTAATACCTTGACCAAATGAAATTGAGTTGCCTCCTCGGTTATTGTGTTCTACTTCTACACTTTTAAAATCATCGTTCACCACATTACCCGGTATTTTTCGTTTCACTACTTTCAATTTCTTTTCTTCTCTTGAGATTGAGTTGAATTAAATTTAATTGCGTCCTCGGTTTTTATGTTCTACTTCTACACTTTTAAAATTATCTTTCACCTTATTACCTGGTATTTTTCGTTTCACTACTTTTAATTTCTTTTCTTCTCTTCTTTCTGTTTCTATTTCAATTTCATTCTTTTCAGGTGTACTGGTATAGATTTTGGATCGACCTTGTTTGCGATTTGACTTTTTTCGGTTTAGTGAAAGTGTTCGATAGGGCCTTATATCTTGCAGGCTGACAAACTGTTTTTTTGAGGCTTTGAAGGAACTTGTAACATTATGTAGTACAGTATTCACAATATCAGTAATGAGTGAAGTCACAAACTCCTTAACATTCTCGTTTGTATTGCTGGCAGGAACTAAACGAACATTGCTTATAATATTAATTTTCAGTGAAATTTCGGGAGTTGTGTTAAGCAAAGTTGAAGCTTCTGCAATTTTGTTATCTTCTATGGAATTAGAAGACTTATTTACTTCTGAAGTGGAATTTTCTTTATTCTCGTCCAAAGGATTTTGCTCTTCGTGCAAAACA